AGAAAGCGAGAAATCACCCCCCAAGGGGGATGGCCACGTCGCAATCCCTTCTCCTCCATTCTCCTCTCAGGATCTTGGGCACGCACGCACATGCACCCGGCATGAGTTTAAGCCACCAGGTCCGGGACTTGAACCTCAGTTGACCAGGTGGGAGTCCAGCGACATAGCCATTATGCCAATTGCTGGTGCCCCAACATTTTAACTCTTAAAAGAGCTTTCAATCTTATGGGGTCTAAAGCAGTTGTTCTAGCTCAGGCAAAGTCATTGCAGAAAGTATGTTCTCTCTCTCTGTTACTGTTCTTTGCATTTCCAGCTGCAATACATTTTTTGAGAGGTTTTTGCTATAGGGCATGTGCGCTTGCCAGAAAGACAGAGAGAGACCGAGAGACAGAAAGCAAAAAATCACCTCCAGTGGGGGTAGCCTCGCCACAATCCCTTCTCCTCCATTGTCCTCTTGGGATCTTGGGCATACATATACATGTGCCCGGCGAGAATTTAAGCCACTGTGTCCAGGACTTGAATCGCGGTCAACTACATGGGAATCCTGTGACATAGCCATTATGCCAACTGCTTGTCTCAGTTATAATAAATCTTAAGAGCAGTTTCCAGGATCAACCCAGGGTGCAAAATTTTATTTTTCTTTCTTTCTTTCTTTTTCTTTTTCTTTTTTTTTTTTTTTTTTGAGAGATTTTCACTGTAGGGCGCGTGCGCTCGCCAGACAGACAGAGAGAGACATAGAGACAGAAAGCGAGAAATCACCCCCCAGGGGGGATGGTCACGCCGCAATCCCTTCTCCTCCATTCTCCTCTCGGGATCTTGGGCACGCACGCACACGCGCCCGGCGTGAGTTTTAAGCCACCGGGTCCGGGACACGAACCACGGTCGACTACGTGGGAGTCCAGCGACATAGCCATTACGCTAACTGCTGGTTCCCTCTTTCTTTCTTTTTTAAGAGATTTTTGCTGTAGGGTGTGGTATGTGCGCTTGGAGAGAAAGAGAGAGAGAGAGAGACAGAGACAGAGAGAGCAAGAGACAGAGAGAGAGAGACAGAGGCAGTGAGAGGGAAAGTAAGAAATTATCCCCCAGGAGGACTGGCTACACTGCAATTCATTCTCCTCCATTCTCTTCCTGAGATCTTGAGCACATGTGTACATGCACCCTGTGTGATGTTCAAGCCACCACGTCCAGAACTTGAGCTGCAGTTGGCCAGCAATGTAACCACTACGCCATCTGCTCTCCCCAGAGTGCAAAATTTAGTGGTTAGTTGCAAGGGCAAAGCAAAATATTTCTTCCACTCATCACCCAGGACTAGCTACTTAATTTATGAGGCCCAGTGCAAAATTAAAATGTGAGGCCCCTTATTCAGAAAGCAGGAAAAAGTGCCACTGAAGATGCTAAAATACAAAGCTTTGTTCTATCTTCCATGTCCCCTTCTCTCCACTTGGCACAGTATTCTTTATAGTAGTACCCCATTTTTTGTGGGGAATTTATTTGAAGACCCCCAGAGGATGCCTGAAAGCATGGATAGTACTGAACCCTAAATATAGCATATTTGAACTGGTAACAGAGATGGCTACTAAGTGGCTAATGGGTGAGTAGTGGATACAGTATGGAGATGCTGGACAAATGCATGATTCACGTCTAGGTTGGACAGAGCAAGATGGCACAAGATATCAACCCACTACTCAGAATGGTACTCAAGTGAATACTTATAGATTGTTATTTTTAGAATTTTGCACTCAATATTTTTGGACCACTGTTAATTGCAGATAACTGAAACTATGGAAAGTGAAATTACAGACATGGGGGACTGCTGTATTTGTTACTCTAATGTTGCTACAAGAAAAATTAAAATTTTAAATCATTAACATGAATTTTACCATTCATCTTTATATTGTGTAATGCTGTGTTAAATGCAAATAATAAGAGCATTTACTATGCATTTGCATTTTGTTCTTATCAGTGGGCTGCACAAACCTGATTCAACTGTTCTTATGTCACTCCTTCCTTCCTTCCTTTTTTCCTTCCTTTTCCTTTGTTTGTTTCTTCTTTTTCTTTCTTTTCTTCTCTCTCTCTTTCATTTTCTTTTTTTTTTTTTTAAGGTTTTTGTCACAGCATGCATATACTTGCCAGAGAGAGACAGATACAGAGGCAGGGAAAGTGAGAAATTACTTCCCAGGGGGGATGGCCATGCTGCAATCTCTTTTTCTCTTGGGATTTTGGGCATGTATGCACACACACCTGGTGTCAGTTTCAGGCCTCCACGTCCGGGACTCAAGCTGAGTTGGCCATGTGGGAGTCCAGTGCCTTAACCACCATACCACTTGCTAGCCTCCTTATTTCACTTCTTAAGACATATACATTCTACCAATATCCTCTACCTTTGGCTTACTGATGAGCAAGGACACACTGAAAGGAAAAGAAACTATGTGTCACCTTGTCTTTCCCTTTTCTTCTGTGTCATCATTTTCAGTATAAGTAGGTGGCCAATACAAGGAAATTCCAGGAATAAACAAGAATATGACAGGGTTTTTTTTGTCATTCATGTTTCTCAGAATGCCATTATCTTCTTTCAGTGATCAAAGCAAATTCTGATTTGAATGGAAAATGTAGCCTTTGGGACTGGCAGAGTCTCACTTATTCAGTTCTAGAGTAATATGCTTACTTTGTACTCACTTTGAGTCTCGCTGAACTCCCACACATTGTGGGTCTGCCAGAATCCTGTGCTCCTGATACATTGCGGATCCAGTTATAAATGGGGCTCCAAGGAACCACAGGCACACATATTGCTCATGACACCTCTGCTCACACACATGCTCTGTTGAACTCTTGGACTATGCTTACAAAATAACAAACTGAAATATAAGATTTTTAAGAACTTCCAGATAGTGACAGGTTGGAAGGGCCAAGTGCAGGACCCTTCCACCTGTGAGGCCTGTATGTTTGAACAGGTCACAGGTCACATGCCTATGAAGCTGGACCTTTCTGTGTGAGGGGAAGCTGCTAAACAGACTGGAGCCTCAAGTGTATGCTGGGTTTGAGGGAACTCCATTCACAGCAGATGGTGCACTGCCAATAGTGTCTCCATATAAGATAGTTTCTTTGAAACAGTTTAGTACACTTACTTCAAACTCAGTTGAATTAATGTCATCTTTGAGACAGCTAGATCTCTTGTAGTTTCCCAGCTTCACAAGGAATGCCTTTCAGATAGGCCTTTGAAACCTCAAGGCTATAGCTGAAAGCAAGTACCCATCATTGAATTGATCTCTCTGTATCCCTTAACATTGTCTATCTGTCTTTCTGCCAGGGTTTCCAGCAGGAGAACTCCAGAAGCCTTTCTTTTGGGGAACAGAATATCCTCGGTGAGTAAATTAGTAAAGAGACTGATGATTGTTAGGAGGGTGGAATATGTTGCTTTGGCAGAGGATAGGATATAAAGTTAAAGAAATGAAGTCAGTAGCTGTTCAGCAGAAAGAGGACATGGAATCTGGCATGAGTCAATTCCAGTCTGACCATTTTAGGTATTTGTTTTCTGATCCTTGTTTCGAGGGTATTTGGTTGAACCAGAAAACTGACATATACGTGGATATTTTCATTTGTATGCATTTATTCACATACCTGTTGCTTCACGTTACTGCTATTGGGACCTTGAAAGATTGTTAGGGTTTGTGTTGATGGTAATGGGTCTAAAACCATTCTAGGCAGAGGGGAAAAAAAATTAGAAAAGGAAGGTAAAGTATTTATAGGATGGCGGTGTCTAGTTTGGCTGGCCCAAGTGCTATATGAAGAAAGTAGTGGGAAAAAAATTTGGAAAAGAAGGTTGAGGTTTGATATGGAGGGCTCTGAATACCAGGTAAGGAACTTGGACACTAATAAGCAATAAAAAATATTGAAGTTTTTAGTAAGTAAGATAATAAAATATGTTTTTAGAAATATAGCCTTTGTAACTGTAGAATAGATTACAATCGACAGTTTCTGGGTGAAGAATTAAAGGCCATTAATACCAGAAAGTTGTAGATTTTTGTAATTCAGAATGTCCATACATAGTGGGGATTCTGATAATATCTGATATTATCTGCCGATAATATCACCACTATTACTATGTATCTTTGCTTGCTCTGATGCTTTAATGCATAGAAAATTTAATCTTGATTTTGGAAGCAGAGGATCTTGTGTTTTGGTTTGGATATATTACAAAATACACATGATTATGTGTGTTTTATATA